ATAGCAGAATAAAACATTTTTAAAAAAGAATATAAACTGGGAGATGTAGAGAGAGGCTGGGTTTTAGAGGTTTTTCACAGCCAGGCTTAGGGTAGATGTGTGAGGCAGGAGGGAGCCGTGATGGTGGATGAATGACATATTTTAATTAAGTTAATCTGGCAATATTGCAGAGGTGAAACTAGGAGAAGAATCTGGAATCACTGAGCTTTTTTTATTGATTCATGTCTGTGGTGCTGTGGGCCTGAACTCTGGTGGTCCATTATCCTGGTGGGAATTGAAAAGGCTCCATCCAATTTAAAAAGGGACTAGCCACAAGAGTGAGGCGAATTTAAATTTTGGAAATTATTTCTAAAAGTGCTGTTTTGTTTCTCAGCTACTCCCTTCCCTCTCATGTGGTTATTTCTTAAATCGTCTTGGATGTTTGCTGTTGTTGTTGTTGTGCCTAACTTACTTAACATTTCCTTTTCTTGCAAATGATTGTCTTTATAACCTCTCTCCATCTATACTTCATCATTTTTCCTTTAAATATTAAACTAAAAATGTGCTGCTTGGGCACTGTCCAATTGTTAATTGGAATGTCATTGGTGAAGCTTGCATAGCTGTATTGTAATTACTTCCCTGTATCGTCTTAATTTTTCCCCCTATGTTCACATCTGGAACTGGAAATATCTGTTCAGCTTCTTGATCTCAGCAATTAGTTAAGTGGGATGCATAGCTGGTTACCTGGGGGTTGTCTCAGATGCCTAATCACCTCAGGTCTGAATGGATATCTCCTCAAGCAGCAATGCCAGTAGTTAGTGTAGCAGTGGTTCTCCAAGTGTGGCCCCCAAAATGAGCAGCATCTGGGAAATCATTAGAAATGCAAATTCTCAGGACCCTACCTCAGTCTTATTAAATCAGAAACTGGGAGGTGGGCCCCACCAAAGCTTCAAAAACCTCTCCAGGTAAATGCCAAAGTTTGAGAACTACTGTCCTGAAGAAATCTTCACAATGTTGGACAGCCAGACTCAGGTAGGGAAAACAGGCTTCAGAAAACCCAAGGGAAGTTCAGAGGCTAAGAAGAGAGGGCAATTAAGTCCCTCTTGGAGATGATGCAGACAAGCAGAGGAACAGCTGCTAGAAGTGAGATTTTTGTCTCTAGCCCTTTGCTGTTTGAAAGGAAACCTGGGTAGCTACAGCTTGCCTTATGCTTTAGAAAGACATGTTCTTAGTCTTCAGGAAGGACTGTTGGATTTTCCTACTCATGGGTCTTTATTGGATACTATGTTGTTAAGTTGATGAAGAAAGAGATATATTTCCCATTTTGCTTGGATCTTATTTGCCTCTATAGAGAGAACCAAATACAGAGATATGCTTACTTTGAGGGTTAAGAGAGAATAAGTTTATATTTCAATTCTATCTAATACTGAATGTTTATCCCATTAGAAGCAGATCCCATTGAAGTTCTTTTGAAGGTGCCCAATCATAAAGTGCTGGCCAAAACACTAAACATTTAGTGTCTATGGTTTCAGTATTACCCTTGATCCAAGAACTTTGGAACAGAGGAATGAATAGTTCATCAGTTTACCTTATCTTGTGTCCTCTGGTTACTAAGTCATTAATTAAACAAGAACAAGGTAGGGAAAGTAAGTTTTCTACTACCAGGATTAGAACTAGTGACCTTATTTCCATTCTTAAAACTTCACTCTTTTTTTTTTTTTGGCCACCTATGTTCATAAAAAAGCGTATTATGATGTGGGCATGTTTCATCAGGATGACAATTTAAACTTAAGTGTGTAATCCAGAGTTACTTTCCTTTATAGTTAAAAAAAGTGATTGCTTTTTCTTGCTCTTGACATTTCTGTGTACCTAGACAAGAAACTCTCCTACTTTACCCAAGAAGGAAGAGAAGTTTGTGTTCCATTCTCCCATCCTACTGTGAGCACTAGTCATTAAGATAAAGTCTCTGTGGAAGAAAATAAATCCTGGATGATATGGCCAACCTTTTTGTCAAGTTATGTATTTTCTTTCTATAAGATCAATGAACTTCTCCATGGTTTGTTTCCACATGGTGAATGAAAGGATGGGGCTTTAGAATTTCTACTTGGTGGGCTCTAATTGTGTGAGTCCATGGACTACAGGACTTAGAGGGTTTATCTCGAAGGGGCTCCTGATAAATAGTCCATTGCCACTTGAGAAAATTAGGCAGGATGTTTTTCCTTGGGCTCTCATGGCACGTTAAAGAGCTAACAGGGCTGGAAAACAGACTCTGATTACTCTGGCCCTACCTGGGCCCCAGGGGCTGGCCCTCCTTGGTCACTGAATTTCCTCTACTCCCTCTTCATCTCAGCAGAGTTACTCATGTCATTGTGAGCTCCAGCCAGAGGAAAAGCTGCCAGCACCAGCAGCATAATTTACTCCCTCTATTATTTCAGCTCAAAGTCTAGGACTCAAGGAATGATATGAAACAAGGATGAAATCTGCTGTAAATTTAATTTTTTAAAAAAGGTCTATTATGGTTTCAACATTGTTCTCTGTAAATCAGGGGTGCTGCTGAGATATATTTTTCAGCACTGTGCCTTTTAGCTCCTTGCTTTCCCATCATTGCCTTTGGGAATGAGCAATGTAGGAGGGAGCAGCAGAGATGACAAGGAAGGCCAGGAAGAGTGGAAAGAAGTTGCTACAGCCTGATTCCTTATACTTTTTTGAACATCTGCTTCCATTTATGTTGAACCCAAAAGTCCTCAGTGGCATTAAGCTAACATCTCTTCCCCACACTATTCTAACCTCTTCCACAGCATAACAACTACTTTCTCTACAAGATGTATTTCAAGGTAACTACCAAATTAACCACAAAGGCCATGAAATTAATAGGTGCTAGGGTACTCACAGTGTTCCCAAATATGCCATCAGTAACTTCACTAGTGAGAGCAATAGTAAGGTTATCATTTGGCCTGGTGAAGTGATAGAGGGCTTTTCACAGTATTGGGAACCAAGATGTTCTCTCTGTTCCATTGTCTGAATACACATCAATCTTGATGACTGTGACTTTTTAATGAACAGCTAAGTCATTGGTGGCACACATGAGGATGTGAGTGCAGTGTTTGCCAACAGAGCTCCCAGTTCTTTCTCTCTCAACACACCCCTTTAACTTTTAGTAGCACATCATACCAGTGACTCACATAGCACAGAGATGCATGGTCTTTCTCTGAATCCCTTAGGATCTCTAGTGAATTTCTGGTCAACCTAGTTCAGGTACTTTTTTTTTTCACTGTAGCTAGAGTAGCTAAGAACTCTGGCAACTGTGAACCTTGGGGGTCTTGTTCTTGAATCAAAGCAAAATGCCATCATGGCTTGGGAATTGCAGAAATGTCACTTATTCACTCTAGGTCTGGATTTTCCTTTTTTTTTTTTTCACTTAAATGAATTCCTGTGTAGGAGGGCCTGCAAAGAGCAGTGGTAGGCTGTAATGTTTAGCTTTTTCTCCTGTCTCCTTTCAGCACTGGACTGAGCAAATTCATGCTGTCTTTCCTCCAACTTCCCTACCTTATTGAAAACCTAGCAGTTGCCATTTTCTTTATAAAAGAACTGTTTTCCAGTGTTTGTTTTTTGTTTACTCCACTGAATTTGTAAATGCAAATGTAGATTACTGTTAATGCTTTTCTGGAAGATTTTCCTCCTATTTGTGATTTGGGAGATGACAAAGGGCATGTTTGACTTGTAATAGAGATGAAGAATGGATAAATCCAGTGCATGTTATATGACTGGAGAGTCCCACAGACTGACCCACCATGGCTCTAGGTGGGCTCTGCATTCCTGTGCTGCACAGATTCCTGCCTGTTGAACAACTTAGCCTTGTCCTTACAGAAGTACAACTATACTAACTGGTATTGCATACAGTGATTTCCAAAGTGGCAAAGCTCTGAAATCCAAAATCCCGTGTTCCGCGCTTCTCATGCTAGCCATCTCCTGGCCTGGAGGTCCATGGGGCTTTCCATCTGGGAAAAGTATTTTACTGCCCCCATACTCCCCCCTTTTCCTCTTCCACCTTCTTTATGTTCCTGACCTGAGTGTTACCATTTGCTTACTGATAACAGTATACTATGAATTTTCTTTCACAGCTTTGAGATGCTTATGAGGCTTTCCTGCTTCCCACCAGCCCCAAACTTGGGACTTGTCACACACTGATCCCCTGATCAGTTTGACATGGGAAGCACATGGAAGCCATGTACCAGTTTGTATAGTAGTACCCTTTGGAACTGCCTACTCTTGAACAAAGTAGAGTGTGCTGGGGTTCGCATTGGCTGCTTGACACACACAAAACCAATTAATTTGCATGCCAAAGAATAATAATAAAATTAACCCTTAGAGTACTGCTTCAACATTTTGGTTTAATGGCCTTGAATTTTACCAGTTGGGCAATGCTTTGTTCCCTGGATCTGAATGCTGCACGTGAAGTCCATACGTAGAACATCCACCAGGACCCTCTCCTTCATGGCTTTTCTGAGATGCTCCTGGATCCTTTATTGTTCATCAATTGATGGCTTTTGAAAGGTTCAAAACATGCCACTGTGTTTAATTGAAAATGGGCTCCACTTCCAATGAGCTGGAGGGTGTGAGGAACTGCTTTTAGCTTTGGGATGTGTCCTCTAAAAGAAAGAAGTCAGTTCTTTAAGGGTTAATGTGAAATTAAGGAATTTGGTAGTGTCTCTTGCTTGTCCTTCCTCCAAGGTGTGTGCATGATCTTTAGATTGTTTTAGCTCAACTGTTGAATGATGATAAAAATTATATATATGTATTTAAAATTACAGAAAGAAATAAAAGAACAAAAGACTGAATGGTTGAATGGAAAGACCCCTTGGCAATGCTTGCTTGATTATCATAGGGGTAAAAAGACCAAGTGTTCTATTTTATGAATATTCATTGTGTCCTCTCTCCCGAGCACCACCACTGCACAGCATGTGGGAGACTTGGTGATGCTTTTCATTTACCCTTTGCTTTTTCTTCTTCCTATCTAATAGCCCAATAGAATCCTGCCAGAATTTCTACAAAGATTTCACATTACAGATCGACATGGCTTTCAACGTGTTCTTCCTCCTCTACTTTGGCTTGCGGGTGAGTTGGAGCAACACTGCCCAGTGTGATGATGGGGGTGCAAGTCCTGTTCCCCGGGGGCCATGCTCCACCAGCACCTGCCCTCGCAGGCAGACAAAGCCCAGTGATCCCAGGGGAGACAGCAGACCTGTGTTCTGATTTCCAGTGTGTGAGAGAGCCTTGTCCTCAGCCCACAGTTTTCTGAAGTACATGTTAATTGTGTTCACAGGGGTAGAAATAGGGATTCAAATAACTTTTTTGCCCCCACCGGCTGACTTTCTCTTCCCTCTATTCAAACAGGAGGACATTGTTCCTTTAATAGAACTAAAAAAAAGCTTTTTGACCTTAAATTTATGTTTGTCCATGCTCACTTACCTGAATCCTGGGAGAATAGTGGAATCAGGGGATAGATTTTGGGGTGGGGGATGTTCTACTACACCCTGTTTATGACAGGAGCTGTACAGAGGTGGGTTACAGAGATGTGTGTGTGTGTGTGTGTGAATGAATGCATCCATATATGCTTTATTTGCAATTATGTTTACATTAGAGAGTCTAATGAAAGTGAGATCACTCAACCTTCCCTCTGATGCAGTTGAAAACCACAGAAAGATATACATCCTGAGTTTTCTCCAAGGCTAACATAACTTATAGTCATTCTTTAGAAAAGGCTATCTGAAGTCTAAGACAAAAATAGCATGTAATTGGTATAGATATGAAAAGAAAAGAACATCTCATTCACGTCCCCCACCAAAAACCCAAATGTAACCTTTGGCAAGAGTATATTTTGAATGCTGGCGCCATGCTCCTCATTCTTTTTCTCTCTTTTCTTTCCCCCAGTTTATTGCAGCCAACGATAAGCTGTGGTTCTGGCTGGAAGTGAACTCTGTAGTAGATTTCTTCACGGTCCCCCCAGTGTTTGTGTCTGTGTACTTAAACAGAAGTTGGCTTGGTAAGTCAATCTCTGCCTTCCTTCTTGCTGGTTCCTGAGCCATGGCTGGAATATAGACTCTAGGGCTGGGCTGTTTCAGAGTGTTGTGTATTAATGTGAACAACTCTTGGAGTTTTAGAAGTTGATGTTGACAGGTCTCTTTGCAGCACTAGACCACCAGAATTTGCACAGTTACTGCTTCCGCTAATACAGTTTTATCATTGCGGAAGCCTAGTGGTCATCACTGTCACAGCCAGGACCTCTACGTTCATAGGTCTGTCACTTTTCACTCAACTTGGAGTCAGTATTGGACAAATGAGCCTATGAAGACAAGGTCAACTTTCTAGATAGCTGGTTCAGGTGCCCCAGAAGGCTGTCTCACTTCCCATCTCTGCTCAACATGTTGCTTCCTGTATCAGGACAAGGACAGTTTGGTGGGAAAAGTAACGAGCTCAGAGGATGACTATGGCAGGGCGTAGAGAAAAGGCTTCGAGGTTCTCTTTGCTGCACTTCATAATTTTCTCAGAGTATTTCTGCTGCCCTGGATCTGCAGGGGAAGGAGGGAAGCTGAAATAGGACTTGGAGGAATATTTGTCAGTTCCATCTATCTTTATTTTCAGAATTTTTTGTCTTAACATGATTTTTTCAAAATTATATATATATATATGTATATAATAGTCAATATAAACATTCAAAGATGTATGTACAAAGAAAATAGTAATTATCTCTTCTCCCTGCATCCATTGTTGCCTGCTCTCTGGGATGCTCAGTGTTAATAGACTTCCACAACTTTCCTTCATACTCATTTCCCAACAAAAAGCATGAATGCTCACATATAATAGTGTTTCAGAGATGGTGGTCTTTGCATAAAATAATTGTATCAACCACATTGTACTGCAATTTGGTTTTCTTACTAACTAGTGAATGATGGACATCCCTTCAGCACAAAATTCCATAAGTCGTTGTACCACAGTTATTCAGCCATGACCCTGATGATGAACCACCTGATTGTTTTCTTTTCCTGCTATAAATAATGGCCTAATAAACATACTCATCCACATATTTGTACAATTCTATTTCTATAGATAGTTTTAGGTTCCTGGAAGATTTGCTGGATCAAAGAATATGTATATTTTAGTTTATACAGATATTGATGGATAACGTTTCAAAAGTATTGTGTCAAGCGATGTGTTATAACATTCTTGCTAGCACTGTTAATTTTTTTATATACATAGTAGCACATATTTAAGAAATAAGCATCTTTTATATATAGTATATGTAATAATCACATACACATATGTGTGTATGTGCTATGGCTCTATTTTCCCAATTTTCACAGTAGAATTGTGTTCATTTTCTTGAAGGAAGGATCTTCATCCTTGATTTGAGACATACTTGCTTAGATTGGGTTTTTGAGCTGGCACGATGAGACCATTTGGGCTGCACACAAATCTGAGAAGTGTCCTTAGTTTGACCTAAGTGTGCTCTGTGGCCAGGGGTCCTGAATGCCTCAGTTTAGCTGTTAGCTGGCTTTGTGACCCAGGGACTCACTTTTCATTACTTGCCTGTTGTTTCTTATCTGTAAAATAAAGGTTGGCCTAGGTGATCTCTAAGGTTTTTTTTGGTTTTGCTTTTGTTTTTGTTGTATCTCGGTAAGTCTCCAAGATGCTTGTATTATTAATGGCTGTTGAGAAAAAATGGAAAGTTAGTGCAATTAAATCATCAACATTGCTGAGTCAAAATTATACATGGGCTGCTAACCAGGGCTTTTTCTAAACCACCCCCTTGTGAAGAGCACACCCTTAAACAAAGAGATAAGGAGTGAAGGACGAGAAAGAAGGAAGAAAGTGTGGAGGAAAGAAAAGTGAGAAAGAGGGAGAAAGGAAGGAAGAAGGAAAAGAAGAGGATCAGAAGGGAAAAAGGAATGTGCCTTCTGTTCCTGGCTGTGCTCTAAGAATTGTGCACCTGAACAGCCACTTTTCTTTACTGGACCCTCAGTTTTCCCATCCAAAAAATGGGAGATTAGGATTAAATTACCTTCCAGGCCTCATACTTCAGGAATCCTAATTTTGTGTGAGGGTCCATTGTCTCCTGGTCCTTGTGGTCCTAGATAATTGATGGCCCCTCATGACTGTGATGGAGACATCCCTCCTCTGTCTCACCCCACGTTAAGAGTGTGAGGCTGAGTCTCCTCCTTGTGGGTGAAATGTGCCCTAGAAGGTCTTAGTGTAAGGAGAACTTGGATATTCTAAGAATCCATGCCTTCTTGTGGATGGTTTAATCCTAATTTTTGGAATTGTGTTCCAATCTAGTGAAAATCTATCAGAGCAAACAGAAAAAGGGGGAGAAAAAGGAAAAGGAAGAAATGAGATACATTTCCATCAATTGTGGCTGTTCTTCAAAAAATGCTCTAAAATGTGCTTCAAATTGTGCATTAATTGAACAGTATTTATTAAGCACCTCCTATGTGTCTGGCACTTTTTCAAATGGTTAGAAAGCAATAGTGAATGAAATAGACAGCATCCTGCTCTTTAACATAGCAGCGGGGGAAGAATAGGAAAATAGGAGCCTAATAAATAAGTATATTATATAGGACGTTAGGAAGCAAAAATGCTATTGCAACTGAAAACATAGACCCATGACCTTTTGAGCTCTGTAGAAGAAAACACTTTAAATAGCATACTTTTTGTTCTTTGGTAACTAAGCCCTTTGGGTGAGATTCAAAACTGGTCTGGCTGTTAGGATAGGGAATTCAATATAATAATATTTCAAGGAGGTTCCCGTGTCTGATTTAATACATGGGTTATTACATCGTGAAACAATTATTGAACCAGCAAGCTGCCAGAGATAAAATGAACATTCCCATGAGGTATGGCATATAAAGTAGAAGGAATAATCTCATTAAATAAGGCATTTCAGGAAGTGCTGCTGTTGTTTCTGAGGTTTAGGGGAAGATGCAGGAAGCTGAAGGCTCCCCTTGTTCTCCTGCACATGCTGCTGGAGGCCTGCCCTGCTGAGGACAGAGGGCTGGGCTGTCTCTGGCACTTTGGAGGGTAAATAACAGTGAAGGCCATGACCCCTGCCCTTACCTTTCCCACAGCATAACCCACACCATGTTTGATTCCTTATTATTACTATATGGTTGCACATTATATAGTTCAGTATTTACTTAAATTTTTGTGGGTATTAATTATCTGTGCATTTTATAGTGTCTTACTAATAACAGCTAACATTTATTCTGGTTCTGCTGTGTTCTAGGCACTCTGATGAGCCCCTTACATATATGAACTCAATCCTCAGCAAACCTATGAGCTAGGAATTATTTTCCCCATTTTGCAGAAAAGAAAACAAGCTCAGAGACGTTGTCTTGTCCAAGGTCCCATTGCCTGGAAGGGGTGAAAGGGGTGATTTGTTCCAGATTTGATTTGACTTTATGTCCACACTCAGGCTGTGCTCCTCTATCTCTGTCCTTACCCTTGAAAGATTTGGGGTTCTGAGGACTAGGTGGGGGTGACTGAGCTGATTTTGCTGCGTATGTTGGCATTCCTCCATCTCTACTTACTCACAGAGGGCTTCACTTCGGGCTGGCAGGCAGGAAAGAGATCTTACTGAAGAACACCCCCATGTCTTCTTCCTACTTCTCCTTTCCCATGTCTACTTTCTAGAGTTGCCACTAGGACCAGGGAAACACAGGTGTATCCTGAGTCCCAGGTGCCTTAGCAACTTGAGGAGGAAATCTTCACCTGAGAGCAAGAGCAAGAGCAAGAGAGAGACGGAGGGCTGCTGCCCATCCTTGGTCAATAGGGCAGAGTGGGTCAAAGCCAGTGGATCTGGGCTCTACCCCCTCAGTTCTCAGTTCTTTGCTCAGCCACTTTCTGATGGGTCACTTTGAGCAAGGTCATTTGCTTGTCTGAAACTCAGTTTTCTTACCTGCACAATAGGGATATTAATAGCACTCACCTCATAAGGTTGAAGTGGAGATTCAATGAGGTAATGTGAGTACAGTACCAGATACACAGGATGAGTTTAGTGATCATCATGGGCCCCTCTTTCTGACCTACCTATCATACTTTAAAGTGCCAGGGAAGAAAACAAACCAGATGGAGCTAAAAATAAGGCAGCGGGACGTGAGGACCTCCATGTTGGCAGGCAGCAGGTCGATGCTTATTTTAATTCCTAGTCCCACACACCAGCTTATTCATTTTTGTTTCTCTCACAGAATTTTTATCCTACCTCACTAAAATAAATGTACCTTGAAATGAGAGATGTATCTTATTTTAAGACTTGAATAACATGTTCTGAGGAGAACTCTTTTGTCTGTTTGTCTAATTCTTTTGGGAACTGTATTCCTAAGGTAGGTCAGTGGGCTGTATCTCCTTTGTGTGTTTACATAGTTTTGTTGACTGTCATCTTGTGTGAGGAAAAATAATAATGCACTCACTGGCCAGTCATTGAACTTGTTTTCATGAGCACCTACTATGTGCTCAGTGCTGGGATGGGAGGAACATGCTTGGCCATGCTCTTTCTTTGCTTTGTTGTGCCTCTTGACATCCTCTGTCCTATCTTCTCTGACTGATGAAATCAGGGCAGGTTAAGGAGCCACCGTCACTGAACCATGGTTGAAAAACTGAACCTTGTTCTCTAGCTCATATTAGACCTGGCCTTGGACCTTAGACTTTAGAACCTTCTGCAAACTCTGCTAGAAAACAGAAAACTTGGCTAAAAATAATAGAAAAATGAGTTAATACCCAGTCACAGGGCAATTAAAATGATTTAGGCTATCTACTTATAAATATATGGCTGGGCAGTCCTTTTTTTGTGTCAAGGTGATAAAAACAGGCTCATAAAAAAAGCACAGGTTCTTAAAAACAACAACAACAAAAGGACAAAACATAGTTCCTGTTTGAGACTAAGGTTTTAATCTAGTTTTGGAACCGAAATAAACTCGTGCAGCAACAGGAGGTAACACTACCCGCTATGTAATTAAGTCCCACATTGCGAAGTACAGACTGTAACGGCCC